TTATTATTATTATTATTATTATTATTATTATTATTATTATTATTTTAAGGGAGCGGAAATGGTCAACATTTTCTAACGTTACACCATTAAGTTGTATTTCTGGCATTGGAGAGGGATTGGCCGGTGACTGCTGGATGAGCACTCACATGGTCAATGACAGGTCGAGCTTCTCATATGCTTCTGCGAAGGTGTTTAGAGTGGCTTGTACGTGTTCTTCTGAATGCACACAGACAACGTTGTCATCAGCATACTGGCGTTCTATAACAGATATTGTTGTGAGCTTGGTTTTTGGCTTTCCTTTAGTCTGCTGAGGTTAAATAGCTTGCCATCTGTCTGAGAGATGATTTCCACTCCAGTGGGAAGCTTCCCGTCAAAAAGATGAAGTAAGATCGTCTGGGGAGGCCCTGCTCTCGATCCCGCCTGCGTCACAGGCGCGCTTGGTGGGGACGAGAGACAGGGCCTTCTCAGTGGTGGCCCCTCGGCTATGGAATGCCCTACCGGCAGACATCAGGCAGGCACCTTCACTGCTGACGTTTCGGAGAATGGTTAAGACCTGGCTTTATGAACAAGCGTTTGGTTAAGCAGTGCAACCAATCATAGGAAGACGGTAAATGGAACATAGGAATGGCACAAGGATTATGAGAACGGATCTGATTTCAACTGAGGCGTTATGTTATGTCTGTTTTGTTCTGTCTTGTTGATTGTTAATTGTTGTGGATTGATGCTGTTGATCCTGTTGTTGCATTGTTATGTTTTAATTGCACTGACACTGTTTGATAATTGTACCATGTAAACCGCATTGAGTCGCCTGTTAAGGGCTGAAAAATGCGGTATAGAAATAAAGCAAATTAAATAAATAATAATAATATCATAGCGATGAAGATGGAAAATAAGGTTGGGGCAATAACACATCCTTATTTGACACCTGAATCCACCTTAAATGGGTCACTTTGGGAGCCATTGCTGTCCAAGACTGTTGCCATCATGGAGGAGCTGCAAAGGTGTTCACAAATTTGTCACAGCACCCAAAGTTTTGGATGATGGTCCAGAAAATTATGCGTGCAGGCAAACCTAAACCCAATGCTCTTTTTGGGGCTCAAATGCCACATTTTCAAGCTTTTTCTTTCTTTTTTTCAGGGAGAACAGACCCCGCAATGGAGGAATCTGCGTGGCTAACCACACTTCCCCGATTGATGTCATAATCCTGGCCAGCGATGGCTACTATGCGATGGTGAGGACAATGAACCTTAGCTTCTGTGTCTAGGCGTAGGTCGAGCAGGATTTTTTTTCCTCCACACATTTTTTCTTTAAGATTCCGATTTAATAAATACCATTTGGTGAGTGCTGTCAGATAGCATCAGTTGTGCTTGGGTGTAAACAAAGTTAATCAACAAATATAAAAATAAATATGCTGAATATAAGCCGAGGCACCAAATTTTACCACAAAAAACTGGGAAAATGTATGGACTCAAGTCTAAGCCGAGGGTGGGAAATGCAGGAGAGACAGATCAATTTCAAAATAGAAATAGATGCCAATAAAATTACATTAATTGAGGCATCCATAGGTTCAATGTTTTTGAATATTTATATAAAAAAAAAAAACCTGTAATTTAAGCTTAGGCTGTCCAGCTCTGAGTAAACCATTATTCTAACCTTCTTCAATGTAAATGTGCTTATGTATCCTTCCAATAACAATAAGGAGAGTAAAACAATAAATGTAATAATAAAATAATAAATATAGTGAAATAATAAATGTGATAATAAAAATAATAGAGTAAAATAATAAATATAATAATAATAAATAGAGTAAAATAAAATAAATGGAATAATAATAAATAGAGTAAATTAATAAATGTAATAATAGAGTAAAATAATAAATGTAATAATAATAATAAATAGAGCAAAATAATGTTATAATAAAAATAAAATAATAGAGAAAAATAATATATTTAATAATAAAAAATTAACTATAGTAAAATAATAAATGTAATAATAAAAATAATAAATAGAACAAAATAAAATAAATGTGATAATAAATAGAGAACAACGAAATAAATGTAACAATAATAACAAATAGAGTAAAATAGTAAATGTAATAATAAGAACAGAGTAAAATAATAAATGTAGTAGTAATAATAGAGTAAATTAATAAATGTAATAATAGAGTAAAATAATAAATGTAATAATAATAAATAGAGTAAAATAATGTAATAATAAAAATAAAATAATAGAGAAAAGTAATAAATGTAATAATAAAAATAATAAATATAGTAAAATAATAAATGTAATAATCAAAATAATAGAGTAAAATAATAAATGTGATAATAATAAATAGAGCAAAATAAAGTAAATGTAGTAATAAAATAAAGTAAATCGATAAATGTAATAATAATAATAAATAGAGTAAAATAATGTAATAATAAAAATAAAAATATAGAGAAAAATAATAAATGTAATAATAAAAATAACAAATATAGTAAAACAATAAATGTAACAATAATGTAGTTAAAATAATAAATGTAATAATAAAAATAATAATAGTAAAATAAATACATGTTATAATAATAATAAATAGAGTAAAATAATAAATGTAATAAAAACAATAATAACGGAGTAGAAGAATAAATAATCTTGACTTTTGTATAAGCGGAGGGTGGCTTTTTCAGCCTTAAAATAGCTGAAAATCTCAGCTAATAAAGAATGTATTTGGCAAATGTCCCAGGGCCAAAGGAAAACGCCTTCCTTTCCCTATAACCTCTATTTGTGGTCATGAATTGTGCAAGTTCCTGCTGCTTTGCCCTGTGACATGGGGCAGGCTCTCTGACCACTGGAGAGATCAGGCTCTCTATCCCTTCATTGTGCCTGCCTACCGCTGAGACTTCCTGCAGCGGGATTATTGAGTGGCATCAGAGGTGAGGAGAGAGTGGAGCCTCTAGCGGCTTTGCTCTCTTCTATTCAAGGGTCACTCAGTGACGGCTTCCCTGAGAACAGCCTCTGACTACTCCTCGCTTTCTTTGCTGCTCAGGTGGGCCAGGTTCACGGAGGGCTGATGGGGGTGATCCAGAGGGCGATGGTGAAGGCTTGTCCTCACGTCTGGTTTGAACGCTCGGAAGTGAAGGACCGCCACCTCGTGGCCCGAAGGTATGTGCCCAGAGCCTGCCTTGCATTCTGCAAGGGTATATATGTTTGTGTCTGAAAGGAAAGAGGAGGAGGTGGAGGAGGAGGAGGTGGTGGTGGAGGAGGAGGTGGAGGTGGTGGAGGAGGAGGTGGAGGTGGTGGAGGTGGAGGAGGAGGAGGAGG